TGATGGCGTGGGTCATAGTCAGCGCCCGCTCTTGAGCACGCATCTCGTTAACGAAATCAACAAGACTCTCGGGGTCCGGAAAACTTTCCCGTCGTCCACCTGGTTCGATCTTCTTTTTCTTCTTGTTTCCGTCGTACGCGAGGATTTCTTCTCGATTCTTAGCCCAGGAGCAAATAGTCTCGCGTGGAATACCAGTAGCTTTAGCCGCATTGGTGGGATTCATGGTGTCTAAGATGCGCAGCATGTTGATTCTGGTTGACATCGCGTACGATCGCTTCGGAGCACGTTGCGTGGATAGCATTTTTGATTTCCAAATGGCTTTGAGTTGCAATTTTTTTGAATTTTATTACGTGAGCGGGAAAGTATTTGTTTCTGCCAATTAGCATTCGTTATGATTTTATTTCATTTGTATTGGTCAATATTAGAGTTGTACTTTTTTGAACTTCGTTTGAACCATTCCGTCGTTCCCTGTAGTCTTCGTTACCTACAATAGCTTCAACTGAACTGTTTAGTGGTGAACTCAGGATACAGTGAAACTCCCCGGCTTAGCAGGTTGCACATACTGTATAGGTAAGGGGCTGGTCGCGGAATATTTATGTCGCGAAACATTAAAGTCCATGTTTCAAGATATTCTGAGCTTTTGATTGGTTAGTACCCAAATTATCCGGGTAACGCAAACGTTCACGCTTTCCGGAATAACTTAGACATGGATGCAAGTTTTGAGGCGTGGCTGGCACACATTTTCATAAAAAACGAAAAAGTATTGACTTGTTAGGGGCTGGTCGCGGAATATTTGTCCATGTTTCAAGATATTCCGAGCTTTTGATTGGTTAGTACCCAAATTATCCGGATAACACAATCGTTCACGCTTTCCGGAATAACTCAGACCTGGATGCGAGTTTTGAGGCGTCTGGAATAGCCGTTCATGTCTGACACTCATTTTCATAATAGACGAAAAAGTATTGATCAACATTTTTTGGATTGCGAAAATATTTTGTCCGGATACGTCTCAGTTTCGGACATGGACTTTATCTTCCCCGACCAGCCCCTTAATGGAATTCGCGAGGTGAGCCACCCACCCTGCAATACTTGGCGATTTCATCAATCCGGCAAATTTGACTGAAAAGCACAATTACGTTAGCAGTATTACTTAAACTTGTCCAAATCCACATGTGCATGTTGGGCCAGTTGGGCGAACGCGCTGTGCTTGTTGGCGAGGAGTGTGGACGGCGCGTCGTACTCGACGGCCACGCCCGCGTCCAAGACGAGAATGCGATCCGAGTCGAGGATCGTGTCGAGGCGGTGGGCGATGATGAGTCTCGTGACGTTCTCAAAGCACTCGCGCATCGTGGCCTGGATGAGCCGGTCCGACTCTGGGTCAATGTTGGCCGTAGCTTCGTCCAGCACGACCACCTTAGACCGCCGCAGCAACGCCCGAGCTATGCACACCAACTGCCGCTGCCCCACCGACAGATTCGACCCGCGCTCGCAAATGGCAAACTCCAAGGTCGGAATGACTGCTCCACTCAAATGCACCTGCTTGAGGGCCGTCCACAGCTCGGCGTCCGTGGCGCAATTGGTCGGGTCCAAATTGAGTCGAATGGACCCACTGAACAGCACCGGGTCTTGCGGAATGATGGTCAGACCTTGGCGGAGACTGGTCACGCTCACACTGGCAATGTCCACCTGCATACAGTAAAAACAACAAATGGTCGGTAACGTCCATTTTGAATATTCAGTCGCAATACCCCATCAATCGTGATGCGCCCACACGACGCTGGCACCATGCGAAACAAAGCTGCCATTAACGAACTCTTGCCCGACCCTGTCCGGCCACATATGCCCACTTGGTGGCCTGGCTCAACGTTGATCGAAATGTTGGTCAAGACCAAATCCAACTGGTCTCGGTATCGCATCGAATACGACTCGAATGCAATCGCGCCTAAATTAATAGTAAACCACCGTATCCACTTATCCACAATTCCCCACAAACTTGCAACTCGCACACGCCATACAAGCGTACCTTGCGACGGCCAATCATGTACGTCAGCCCCTTCGTCCTCCGCATGTTCGCTCTCCAACTGGTTGTAATGGTTCAATCTTTCCACGGAGGTCATCGAGTTGTCCAACCAGGCAGAAAAGATGGCTACTCGGGACAGAAGCACCGACAGCTGCGTCGAGTATGTCAGGGACAGCCCCGCCGCCGCCAGTCCCACGGATGACTTGGTGAGAACAGTCACGACGGCACATGTGCCGACGATAAGCGACCCGAGAAAGTCGAGCCGCATCTGAAACCACCGCGCGCCCAAGAAGAAGGCAAAGTAGAACCGCACGTTGAAGTCAATAGCTTCGCGCTGTTTGTGTGCAAAACTCGGTGATTTTGCAAACGCTCGGATCGTGCTCAGGCCCTGGTAGGTCTCGCTCACAAGGGAAATCAGCGGCGATTTCGTCACGCCATCCAACCGTTTGATCTCATTGGCCGCCTTGTTGTAAGCGGTTTGGGCGGCAAAATACACATACCCCACAGGCACGTACATGACGAGCACCCACGGGGTCGTCGCTGCGCAAACCACCAGCACAGACAGGATGCTGAACCCAAACTGCCACACACACAAGCCAAAATGCGGCAAATTCGAGTCGATTTGATCCAAGTCAGACGAAAATCGATTGAGGATGCGACCCACGGGCGTGACGTCGAAGAACGTGGGGACGGGGGCGCGGAGGACGTTGCGCAGGACTTTGGAGTGGAAGTTCTTGGAGCACAACATGGCTGTGATCAGTGTGAAGATGGAACGGCCGTAGACCATCACCACGGACGCCCCAGTGAGTGCCACGTACCCCCACCCATACGCTAGACTCAACGGGCCGTTCCGAGCCCACACACTCATAAACCAATCCGTGATCGATAACGTCACTTGTGAAATCGTAAACAACACCGTCATGACAAACCCGACCAAGTACCTACACTCGAGAATGTGGGAACCAAAGTCGACTTTGGCTGAAAACGACATATTGTTATACCCATTGTAGCCACTAGCCCCAAGGTACGACTTGTACGTTTGCAAAGTCACTTTGCCCTTGACGTTGTCTTCCTTGACCACAAGACTGTCCTTGTCTTGACTTAGTTGTGGAGCAACTTGTTTCGAAACTTCCATCTTGACATGCTCATCCTTTGCACCCTGATCGTCTTGGAATGTGGTGGCCATCCCGTCGGATTGGGTTGTTAGGTTCATCAAGTGAGGAAACTCGGTCTTGAGTTGCTCATACGACCCGTCGCCCACAATCGCCCCGTCCGCCATGACAATGATCTACTCTCGACGTTGTATATATATATATATATATAGGAAGAAGGGTCGTACGCGATGGGCGTGGGGGAGCAAGTGGTAGTGGCTCGTGAGCACAAGCAGCGACGTCTTTCCACGCAGAAGGCCCAGCATGCACTCGGAGAAGACGGCGTTGGCCACGTGCACATCGAGCGCACTCAGCGGATCGTCGAGCAAAAATACATCGGCGTTTGTCTGGTACATGGCCCGAGCCAGGCTGATGCGCGCCTTCTGCCCTCCGCTCAGGTTGATACCTCGCTCGCCAATCTCAGTCAAGTCGCCTAACCACGTCAATCGTCAAGAGTCGATTCGATGTAATTCGAGTATCAGATCGGCACTCAATATCGATTGATCGATTAAACCCACAACACGAATCAAGTGGCTTCGACCAATGCAACATTGAATTAGTGTGTGAATGAAATTAGTGTCACACTGGACGACGGTTGTTCCATACATTCGACAGATTTGGCGACTTAGCCCAAAAGTCAGCCAAATTTTGGGTAAAAGGACAATTGTACCTTTGGGCAGCATGGCCAGATCCGGGCTCAATTGGCACGCGCGTATCACTCGGTCGTACAAGTCGAGATCGTACAAGTCGGACACAAACACAATGTTGTCTTTGACCGTGGCGTGCTGGATCCAAGACTCCTGGTTCACGTATGAGAACCGAGCGCGGACATGGCGGCTGCCGCTCGTGACGTGGACGTCGCCCAGGATGGCACTGACGAGACTCGACTTGCCGCTGCCCACGGCCCCCACGACCATGGTCAACGTCCCAGGTTCCAACTGCAGAGAAATGTCCTTCAACGTTGGCGCCATGGCGTCGTTCGTCCAGCTAAAGTCGGCATGGGACAGCTCTACGGTGGCTGCTTCATGTGTCGTGTCCAAGTCTGGGGCCAACTCTTCGGCATTAAAAAAGTCTGAGAGACGGCGGCAAGAGGCCAGCGCTTCGGTGAACCCTATCACAGACGTGGAAAACACTCCGCACGGCTGGCGCGTGATGTTCATGTAGGCCAACGCGGTGAACGCCACGGGCATGGTTAAGGGGCGTCCCTGGCCCACGAATACCATAAGGCAGCAGGCAAGGGACACCACGGGCGCGACCATTAGCAGCACGTTGTTGATAATGCGGAGGTTGTGATACTTGGTTAAGCAAGAGATCTCTCGTAGGCGGATGTCTTTCAGTTGGTCTTGAATCGACCCTTCCCACGCGTACAGCTTGACCACGCGGATGCCTTGGAGCACTTCGTTCGTGAGCTTCACGCGCTGGGCCTGCACTGCCAGAATATCCTGACGGAGGTGGCCAACGCGTTGGCCTGATGTGATGCCAAAGTAAATGAAACCAGCCATAGCCAGTCCACCGATGAACGCTGCCAATGGCCCCAGTTCAAAGGCCAGCATGATGAAAATCACCAGTAGCATCGCAGGACTAGGCCATCCATTAAAACCAAGGATATAACGTTATATGTATATATAATGTATACCTGATAAAAGTCCAGTGGCCCAAGCTAAACCCCATCGTAATGCGCTCCAAGTCCACCGACGTCATGGTAACTACTTCTCCAGACGAAAACTTGGCCTTGGCTAGCCCTGACAACGACAATGTCTTTACGTACACCATGTTGGCCACGGCGGACTTCAGGTTGATCCCAATATGGGCCGCGTAATACCCAGCGAAATCCATGATGCAAGCCGATGTCATAGACACCACGAAGAGCACAAACGCCAGCGCGTAGCCGTTGGTGAGGCCCAGAGCAGTCGCTGTTACGTCTTCTTGTTCAAGGTACTGCATCATGGACTTGACGGCGATGGGCTGGAGAAGACTCAGCACCGCATAGAGCGAAAACAGCAAGAACGACATGACGATGCGGTAGCGGAAAGCCTGCCACAACACCACCACGAGCCTGGGTTTGAGTGCAGGGTCCCACTTGGCTGTCACGAGAGGATACACCGAGTCCACCGTGTCAGCTTTGGCCAACGGCCACACGTCCTGCTCGGTGAGCGGAGCCTGAGCACCCTTTCGAATGAGCGCGTCCATCCACCAGACCGTGATGTAGCTCAGCCAGCTGACTGACTCCAATGGGTGCGGCCTTTCGCTCCATGGTACGTCGTCCTCCTGGAGGTCTGACGCTCGCGGTGACTTGAGGGATTGGAAGTCGGTGTCCATCCCAAGCAAATTGGCGAATGGATGCAGCAATGCGGGGTTACTACAGGTCGTCTGTCACATATGGTGAGGGAAAATGCTACCATTACGACGATGGGGTGGAGGATATGCTACAAGTTAAATTCAATATGTTCGAAATTTAACGTAACCGACGAAAACTGGGTTGATTCAACCGTGGATTTTATATACAGTAGCATAATGGTATACTTAGGTATCCCTCTTACTCGGGGTACATTGCCGTAAACATGGACCACTGTCAAGTGGCGAAGGTCAAATAGAAATTGAACGCAATCACAGTGTCAGTTCGTCGTACTTGAGCTTGGTTAGCTGGGAATTAACGTTAGCTTGTGAACCTTACCTTCTGCACCTGGCGCTATTATAACTACATGCGATGAACTTGAGCCGCCAAACTGCATTAACCTTCGCGGACTTACTGTACGGTAACTGGCGGTTGGCGTCTCTGTCATTGTTCCGAGGCGTGATCTAATTCCGAGGAGTCAAACACTTTTGAATCGAAGTTTATTTCAACCTCTAACTCTCATTGGCTTATGTACTTCGCAATTCGATTTCTCTGACAAATCAAACGAACTGATACATACTAATAGATGAATCTGGTTGGACACAATATATGGGATAAGCTTACACACATAAACTTCGGTGTGGCTCAAAATCGGGTAATCGCCAACATGTGAGTATCTGAGCAAAACTTCGACAAGTGAAAGCTTCGACAATATATGAGTAAGTACTTAGTACTAAGGGCGTGTTCGGAGCGACTTTTGTGTCAGCGGTTTTTGGAAACGTAGCCAATCAAAATCGTTTCCATCGACTTTTACAAAAACCGTTCTGGACGACCTCCTTGAGGTCGTTTACAGCGACTTTTGGGATTGTGGCTATTTATTGGGCAAAAATATCAGAATAAATTGTTGGTTGCAAACCAAAATTTCGCAGGAGCACGCCCAAAGCAGGCCCTTGTCGGGTGCCGGTGGTTCGTCACTCCACTCCGGTGTGTACTGGTAGGTCCTCGACGGGAGAACTTTACCCATGTGAAGCACGGCTGTGGTAAGTCATTTCCATGTCGAGGGTAGCTGCACACACAACGCATCGAACGCTGTACACATGCCCCTCCCGCGCGACCTCCTACTTGTACTGAACCCTAGGCTCTGTGTATTGTAAACTGATTTCAGGTTAGCTAGGCGTTGATCTTGGGTGCGCATTTTTTTCGAGCAAACGATGGAGCATTTTCGAGCACGCCTTGGAATGGATCGATTTCGAGCAAAATAGTCCAGAGAGACACTTTCCGAGCGTACTTACAGTGGTCGCTGGCGTCGAGGGGACCAGAGATTAGGTTTACAAGAAAATATAGAAATTAAGAGTATTACTGTAGAAAGGTTTTGCGACTAATTTATACTACGTGGTATTGTGTTGAATCTACATGTATTGATTTCTAAAGGCATAATAATGAGAGAGTTTTCAGTGATCGTTACTAGTCTGAGTCACTGTCACTACTATCTTCGGATGCGTCGTCCGACGACATACCATCTTCTACCTCGTCA